CCTACATTTTTTATCGTGTGGCGTCGTGACTTTGACATGCTCACGACTAGCCTTAAGGAGAATTAAGCCCCATATATATTTTTTGCCCCGGCTTTGTGGCTTCGTCGGACCTTAGGCGAGGTTTGTCTTCGCCAATCGAACATTGCTTGTGCGGAATCCAAGCTTGTTCAACCACACACGCCGCTTGCGCGTGCATGTTCAATCGTCTGCGACACATCTGACTTTCCTCTACGCTAGGCCAAGTCATTCGACTTGACATTGCCTCTACTCGGGCCAAAGTCTCTCAATGCAACATCGCATCTCATCTTTGACGGTATTAATATAACACATGCGGAAGCAATTTGGATCTTAGGCACTTTTAGAACATGAATTATAGTAAATAACTAGCATGTTCATAAGTATTAAAACTTAATGAGTTTGAATACTAACCTTTTGTAGTTCAAATTCCATTTTCTTCACGAACCGGTTTCATGTTGGGTTTTATGTTCTAAAACTCATAGTTTGTAAACAAAGATATATTCTATTTTCAATAAAGTTATTATTGATTTTTATTCAGTAAAAATTGTTATTGAATAAAGTGAACCTTACGATCATTAATCTAAATCCAATAAACTAAGAACACTCTGGCTATAGTATGATTACTTGAACTATATGTAGAGGCATAAGAGGGGATCAAGTTCAAGTATATAGTCAAAATGATCTATAGTATAAGAATAAGGCTGAGTACCTTATTCTGGGGACACTATGGATGCGGCCCACTTTTGTATACGATATAAACAATGTGATCACTAAATTGTACATGTGGAGACATGTGAGTGGGGGCGTCCTATGCAATGAGTAATGCATAAGATCGAACCATGAAGAAAACCACTCTCACTTTATAATGTCGTTTACTATTGAGACTGATTTTCTTTTCATTCGATAACCTAGGTAACTCGGTTTTAATCCTGAGCTAACCATGAACTCCTGTTTATTCGGAATTATCCTTAGATTTGCATGGGTGAGAGTGGCTCTAATTCGCCGACTCAACAGGCCTCCCATTTCAGGGGTAAGACTGGGTGAATGGCTGGGGACGTGGGGTGCAAGACGGAATTCACTCCTACCCACTTTTAGGGATAGAAGAAAGGTAGTTCCCTTAAGCACTGACTCCAGGTCTTGAACAAGGGGCCCCACCCTCTCATTGCCCTGAGAGGGATTCGGTTTACTGGTTGGACCACAAACCAATTGTTCATTAGAGGATCAGTGAGACATAAGGAACAAGAAGTAACTTCAGGGGTAAAACGGTAAATTGACCCAGCTCTAGTTACGAACAACCTGTGAAGGATCGACTTACTAATCATGGTTATATCAGATGGACAGAAATATATCTATAGTGAGGGGAGTGCAACTACTAGGCTACAATGGAGTGTCCTAGTAGTTAACGAATGTTGGTTAACCAGGTTAATGAGTTTAACCGGTTAATCTTGGATCGTTGGAGCCCATGATCTATAGGTCCATTAGGTCCCTCTGCTAGCTCATATCGGACTAAACCATAGAACAGTGTGACGAGTGAGTTCGAAGTGTTCGAATTCAAATTAGGGAATATGCGTTACATATATACGATATATTTAACCGCAATTTTGTTTTATTTACGAATTAAACAAAAACAGAGAATCTGAGATATTTAAATAAGATTTAAATATCTTAATCAATTATGTGTCGGAATTGATTGGGATTGGCATTTGAATTAATATTAAATATTAATTAAATAATTTAATTAATCATTTAATGTTACTTTAATTTGAAATTCATTATTCAAATTAATTGTTGAATTAAAATGAAGAAAGTCAAAATGTTGACTTTCATCTAATGGAAAAATCCATGTTAGTGGAATTTTGAGGTGTCAAAATTTGGTTTAACCAAACTTGCATGTTTGCCAAATAAACCCCACAAGTTTGAGTGGAATTTTGAGTGTCAAAATTTGGTTAACTCAAACATGCATGCTTGCCACATAATCCCAAACATTTGAGTGGAATTTGAAGTGCCAAAATTTGGTGATCTCAAATTTGCATGAACATGCAAACATGACTCTTTAAATAGAGTGATCATGATACATGGAAGGTCTTCTTCATCTTGGTGAAAAACCTTGAGAAAAACTTCTCACAAACACTCTCTTCACATATACAAAATCCCTCCCAAGTTTAGTCACTCACCGGATTCCACAATCCCGTTCTAAGGCCGGAGGATAGTGGAGAAGACACTAGTGGTGGTTCGAAACCGGTTCGTGAGGCAAAAGGAGTTTGAACTACAAAAGATTAGTATTTAAACTCATTAAGTTTTAATACTTCTGAACATGCTAGTTATTTACAATAATTGATGTTCTAAAAGTGCCTAAGATCCAAATTACTTCTGCATGTGTTAGATTAACACCATCAATTGGTATCAGAGCAAGTTTTAGGCACTTTATTTACATTAATTTGATCATGGTGGGTACCATTTCATGAATGAAATTTGTGGTTGCTAAAGTGGATGGTTTTGGTTTTGGCATTTTTTTTATGCTTCCATTTGATACAATTATTGTAATAAGCCTAAGGTGTATGGGCTTTAATGAATGAAGAAAGGTCTGTAATTTTTATGGAGTCAATAGAGTCCATTTTAGGTTGTAATTTATCGAAAATGGAAGAGATAGCAAGCTGAACCGAAGAAGATGGAAGAGGCGGTTCGGGTGTTTTTTCTGTCGTTGGGGACTGATTCAACGTTTTTAAGGGTTGGTTCGCTCAGTTCGTGTTCCTCGGGAGCGGCTCAAGTTAATTTTAATTATTAATGTAATAATTTAGTTAATTGCTTGCTTTAAAATGCCAAAACCAACCCACTTTAGTGTGTTTAATTAATTATGCATTATGAATGTCTGTTTTAATTAAATAGAAAATGTATATGCATAAAGTATGTCATATAGATTTAAAATCCCACCATAGGCTAAGCATGTTTCATGCATTCCAAGTATGTTATAAGTGTTATAATGTATAGTATGCATGTCTTAGGGTTCCATGAGTGATAGATATAAATTGTTATATTATTGCATGGAATGGATGATTATATAAATTGTTATATAAAGCATGTTAGATGCATGTTATAGGTTATTTTCAACGTCATAAAATGAGATAGACGTTAAAATCTATAATAAAGATAAGTGCATGCTCACTAAAGGTTAAGAACCGAGCACGATCAATTTTAACAGTTAAAATTGGTCGATGTCTTATAAAATTGCGGTTACGAGAAAGCTCACTTGGCACGATCTTGTCTAAGGCTGAAGGTACTTAAGTTGACGGTTTACGGAACACCTACTACCTAGAGAACGGACCAGTACTTGAGCTTAGTTAGCCCAGTTTTATGAGCATGCTTAAGTGATGTAAGATTTAGAAAAATCACCTAGACTTAAGTTATACTTAATTAGCCGGAATATACTTAAGTAATGAGTATGCCCAACCATCTAAAATACTTAGTGGGAGGAAAAAGGTGTATAAGATACATCGTTTTCTCTTCACGCTCTCTGTAAAATTCACACAGTGAGATTCATGCTCGGCCTCGTGTCGCCCTGGGAGCGTCCTCCATTCGGAAGGTATTTGCATGAGTCAATAACAAGGTGAATTGAGAAAGTATTTATAGTAAGTGGGAGAAGGAAGTCAACACGTCCTATGGTCTCCACCACTAGGTTGCACCGTGAGATTCCCATGTTCCGCCTGCATGTTGCCCTAGAGCAACTACCCATTCGGAGGGTTGTAACATGGGAGTCGGAACAACGCAAACTCCAGAAATGGATAGGATTTCTTAGGTCCATTCCCAACTTTGGCTTTTTCATTCGATAGCGTTGTTGGGACCGATCTCTGAGGTCTGAAATTGGTGGGTCACACTTGCGAAGAATTATTAAGAGTTAGTATATTCTTGACCAAAATAGCGATAACTAAAACACTATAGGAACAAGAGTTATTCTGGAATTAGTGTTTAAGTCAAGAATGTCTTGGTTTAGTGAATGAGTGATTGACTGCCCCTCGGTAGCAGTTGCTCTAACTCACTAAAGTATCGTTGCAAATTAATAATGATTTGGGTACATTATTACATTTGCTAAAACTGATTAGATTAAATAGGATTAAGTCAAATCACTAATAGAATTTTCTTTATATCACAGCATGACAAACTCAATAGTACAATTACTCGCTTCTGAGAAATTAAACGGCGACAACTACACAACTTGGAAATCAAACCTAAACACAATACTTGTCATTGATGATTTAAAGTTTGTTTTAACTGAGGAGTGTCCTCCAAACCCCAACTCAAATGCAAACCGAACAGTTCGGGATGCATATGACAGATGGATAAAGGCAAATGACAAAGCCCGAGTGTACATTCTAGCCAGCATATCTGATGTTTTGGCTAAGAAACACGATGTTATGGGTACTGCTAAAGAGATTATGGAATCTCTAAAAGGGATGTTTGGACAACCGTCCTTCTCCCTTAGACATGAAGCCATAAAATACATTTACAACTGCCGTATGAAAGAAGGGACCTCAGTTAGAGAACATGTCCTGGACATGATGATCCATTTCAATGTGGCAGAAGAAAATGAAGCTGTCATTGATGAGAAGAGTCAAGTCAGTTTTATCATGATGTCTCTTCCGAAGAGCTTCTTCCAGTTCCGCACCAATGTGGTAATGAACAAAATAGAATATAACTTGACTGCTCTTCTCAATGAGCTACAGACTTATCAGTCCCTCTTAACGAACAAGGGACAAACAGGAGAAGCAAATGTTGCTATCTCCAAGAAATTACTACGAGGATCGTCCTCCAAAAATAAGTCTGGACCTTCCACTTCTAATAGTGTTTTGATGAAGAAGAAGGGAAAAGGGAAAAATAAGATTCCTATTAACCCCAAGAACAAGGTTCAAAAAGCAGATAAAGGAAAATGTTTCCATTGCAACGAAAACGGGCACTGGAAGAGAAACTGCCCAAAATACCTTGCAGAGAAGAAAGCCGAAAAGACACAACAAGGTAAATATGATTTACTCATTGTAGAAATATGTTTAGTAGAGTATGACAACTCAACTTGGATACTAGATTCAGGGGCGACTAATCATATTTGTTCTTTTTACCAGGAAACTAGCTCCTGGAGAATGCTTGCGGACGGCGAGATAACACTCAGGGTTGGAACAGGAGAGGTTGTCTCAGCAAGATCAGTAGGAAATTTAAAGTTGTTTTTTGGAAATAGATTCATTATATTAGATAATGTACTTTTTGTTCCTGGAATGAAAAGAAATCTAATATCCATCTCTTGTTTGTTAGAACAGTTGTATAAAGTATCTTTTGAAATCAATGAAGTGTTCATTTGCAAAATAGGTATTCATATTTGTTCTGCAAAACTAGAAAACAACTTATATATGTTAAAACCGAGCAAAACAAAAGCTATTTTAAATACTGAGATGTTTAAAACAGCTGAAACTCAAAATAAACGACAAAAGATTTCTCCTAATACCTATCTTTGGCACTTAAGACTAGGCCACATTAATCTCAATAGGATTGAGAGATTGGTTAAAAGAGGACTTCTAAATAAGTTAGAAGACAATTCCTTACCTCCATGTGAGTCTTGTCTTGAGGGTAAAATGACTAAACGATCATTTTCCGAAAAAGATTATAGAGCCAAAGAAACCTTAGAACTCGTGCATACAGATCTCTGTGGTTCAATGAATGTCAAAGCACGAGGAGGGTATGAATATTTCATCAGTTTTATTGATGATTATTCAAGGTATGGCTATCTTTACCTAATGTATCACAAGTCCGAAGCTCTTGAAAAATTCAGAGAGTATAAGACTGAGGTTGAGAATCTATTAGGTAAAACTATTAAAACACTTCGATCAGATCGAGGAGGAGAGTACATGGACTTAAGATTTCAGGACTATATGATAGAACATGGAATAAGGTCTCAACTCTCAGCCCCTGGTATGCCTCAACAAAATGGTGTATCAGAAAGGAGAAATAGAACTCTATTAGACATGGTTCGGTCTATGATGAGTTTTACTCAATTACCCGATCCGTTTTGGGGATATGCAATGGAGACTGCTACATACATTTTGAACATGGTTCCTACTAAGAGTGTTTCAGAAACACCATATGAGTTATGGAAAGGGCGTAAAGGTAGTTTACGTCACTTTAGAATTTGGGGATGTCCAGCACATGTGTTGTTGCAAAATTCCAAGAAATTAGAACGTCGTTCAAAATTATGTCTATTCGTTGGATACCCCAAAGAGACGAAAGGTGGTTTGTTTTATGATCCACAAGAAAATAGAGTGTTTGTATCAACGAACGCTACATTCTTAGAGGAAGACCACGTAAGAAATCATCAACCTTGTAGCAAACTAGTATTAAGTGAGATTTCTAAAGAAGCTACTGATAAAACAACAAGAGTTGTTGATCAAGCTGGTTCTTCAACCAGAGTTGTTGATGGAGCTGACACTTCTGGTCAATCACATCCTTCTCAAGAGTTGAGAATGCCTTGACGTAGTGGGAGGGTTATAACTCAACCCGATTTAGTATATATGAAGAGAGAGAGTTTGTTAGAGGTTTTTCTCAAGGTTTCTCCGAAGACCTTCCACGTACCATGTTCACTCTATTTATAGTCGTGTTTGCATGTTCATGCAAATTTGAGTTAACAAAATTTTGACATTAATAAAAATTCCACTCAAATTTGTGGGGTTAAACCAAACCTCAAAATTTCACTAACTCAAACATGGATTTTTTCATTAAATGAAGTCAACATTTTGACTTTTTTCATTTTAATACAAGAATTAATTTGAATAATTAATTTCAAATTAGAGTAATATTAAATGATTAATTAAACTATTTAATTAATATTTAATATTAATTCAAATGCCAATCCCAATCAATTCCGACACATATTTGAATAAAATATTTAAATCTTATTTTAAATATCTCCAATTCTCTCTTTTTGTTTAATTCATAATTAAAACAAAATGTGGATAAATATATCGTCTATATTTAAAGTTTATTCCCTAATTTAAATTCGAATACTTCGAACTCACTCGTCACACAGTTCTAAGGTTTAGTTCGATATGAGCTAGCAGGGGGGCCTACTGGACCTACACATCATGGGTTCCAACAATCCGAGATTAACCGGCTAAACTCATTAACCTTGTTAACATACATTCGTTAACTACTAGGACACTCCACTATAGCCTAGTAGTTGCACTCCTCTCACTATAGATATATTTCTGTCCATTTGATATAACCATGATTGGTAAGTCAATCCTTCACAGGATGTTCGTAACTAGAGTTGGGTCAATTTACCATTTTACCCCTGAAGTTACTTCTTGATCCTTATGTCTCACTGATCCTCTAATGAAGAATTGGTTTGTGGTCCAACCAGTAAACCGAATCCCTCTCAGGCCAATGAGAGGGTGGGGGCCCCTTGTTCAAGACTTGGAGATAGTGCTTAAGGGAACTGTTAGGTTATGGAGTCTGCTCTCTTATTTATAGCTTGGTCAACGGTTATATCCGGTAAAGCTATATTTGGTTAAGCTATATCCGATTATATAGCTATATATAGTAGATGGTTAAATCTGGTAAAGCTATATATAGTAAACTGAACTATATATATATCTCGTCCGGTAGAGCTTTGAAAATGTACTTTTTCTATTCTCTGTATTCTCTCTTATACATACTCATCAATACAAATCCTTTAGCCAGAATTCTCCATGCATTTTCTCTCTTCTATTTCTTTGTGTTCATCTAGATCGAGTGTGTGCGTTGTTGTACGACCCTACAACTTGTATCAGAGCTAGGTGGAAGTCAACACGAGCTGTGAAGATGGAAAGTTCAAAGATTGGAATTGAGAAGTTCGATGGATCCGATTTCAGTTTCTGGAAGATGTAGATTGAAGATTATCTGTACTAAAAAGATCTTCATGAACCCTTGTTGTGAGTGATGCCGGATACCATGACCACGGAGTAGTGGAAGCTCAAGGATCGAAAAGCGTTAGGGATGATCTGGTTGACGCTATCCAAAAACGTGGCGTTTAACATCATCAAGGAGAACACAACGTCAGATCTGATGAAGGCGCTGTCGAATATGTATGAAAAACCGTCGGCTATGAATAAGGTGTATTTGATACGGAGATTGTTCAATCTACAGATGTCTGAAGGTGGATCTGTTGTGAATCATATAAATGAATTCAATATGATTGTAAGTCAACTGAGTTCGGTCAAAATTAATTTTGAAGATGAAATTAAGCATTGATTTTGATGTCATCTTTACCCTAGTCGTGGGATACTGTTGTTGCCGCAATCAGCAGTTCCCGAGGATCTAATAAACTGAAGTTTGATGAAATTCAAGATGTAGTTCTCAACGAGAGTACTCACAAACGAGAAATTGGAAATTCATCTGGTAGTACTCTCAGTCTTGACCAATGGGGAAGAAGTAAACTGAAGGGCCCAATAAATGGCGATCAAAATCAAAGAACTGAGAAAAATGTCCAAATAGACCAAACGTAACGTGTTGGAATTGTGGATAAAAAGATCACTTTCGGACAGGTTGTACAAGATCAAAGAGGAAGCAGAATCACAAATCTGGAGATGATGATGATTCTATAAATTCAGCAGAAGACATTGGGGATGCTCTAGTCCTCAGCGTGGACAATTCGATTGAATTCTGGATTTTGGATTCAGGTGCATCTTTTCATTCTTCTCCAAATAAAGAGTTGTTCTGGAATTTCAAGTTTGAAAATTTCGAGAAGGTGTATCTTGCCAACAACAAAGATTTGGAGATTAAAGGAAAAGGGGATGTTTGCATAAAAACTCCGGTAGGAAATTAGTGGACATTAAAGAATGTCAGATATATTCCTGGTCTCAAGAAGAACCTGATCTCTATTGGTCAGTTGGACAGCACAAGTTATGCAACCGAGTGAGGAAAGAGTTCATGGAAGATTCTGAAGGGATGTTACGGTAGTAGCACGAGGCACAAAATCTGGAACCTTATACACCACTGCAGGGTGTATGAACATAGCTGCTGTTGTTGAGACTACTTCAAATTCAAGTCTATGGCACAATAGACTTGGACATATGAGCGTGAAAGAAATGAAGATGCTGGCTGCAAAAGAAGTTTTAAAAGGTTTGAAATCTGTTGATGTGAGTCATTGTGAGAACTACGTTATGAGCAAGCAGAAACGAGTTAGCTTCACAAGGACTGCCAGAGAAATGAAGAAAGTGCAGTTGGAAATGGAACTAGACATGGAGCAAGGTTCGAAGACAACGAAGCAAATGGGAGTTGAGCTTGAGTTGCAGGAAAACTCACTTAGTGATGTTGTAGCAGATACTCATGAAACTTCTGAGACTATTGTTGAAGAACAAGAGGTGGAACAAGGTTCCAAAACCACGAAGCAAGTAGAAGTTGAGCTTGAGTTGCAGAGAAACTCACTTAGTGATGTTGTAGCAAATACTCATGAAACTCTTGAGTCTACTGTTGAGGAACCAGATGTGGAGCAAGGTTCCAAGACCACGAAGCAAGTGGGAGTTGGGCTTGAGTTGCAGGAAAACTCACTTAGTGATGTTGGAGAAGATACTCATGAAACTTCTAAGACTATTGCTGAGGAACCAGATGTGGAGCAAGTGACACCTGAACTGGTGTTGAGAAGATCATCCAGTACTATCAGAGTACCAGATATATATGTACCTTCATCACACTATCTGTTGCTAATGAAAGGGAACCACAACCCTTTGAAGAGGCCCTACAGTTGGAGGATACAACCAAGTGGGAGCAAGCCATAGATGATGGGACGTCTAGGCTTCAAAAATGCGTTGTACTGAGGCTGAGTACGTGGCAATAGCTGAAGCTGGGAAGAAAACGATATGGATGACTAAGTATTTGGAAGAACTGGGCAAGAAGCAGCACGAAAACATTCTTTATAGAGATAGTCAGAGTGTCATACAGTTGGTGAGAAACCCGGTCTATCATTTAAAGATAAAACACGTAAGGCAATACCATTTCACTTGCAGGTTAGTGGAAGATGGTGATGTGTTTTGAGAAGATAGAGGGTGCAAAGAATCCAACAAATATGTTGACAAAATGTGTGGATGTTGGAATATTGAGGTTGTGCAAAACCTCAATTGGTATGGTGCAGTGAAGATATTCATGATCGTTTGAGAATGAAATTCTTGGTTGACTGGATCAGTTTCAAAGTGGGAGAATTGTTAGGTTATGGAGTCTTCTCTATTATTTATAGCTTGGTCAACCGTTATATCCGGTAAAACTATGTTTGGTAAAGCTATATCTGGTAAATCTATATATAGTAAATAGCTATATATAGTAGATGGTTAAATCTGGTAAAGCTATAAATAATAAATAGCTATATATAGTAGATGGTTAAATCTTGTAAAACTATATATAGTAAACTGAGGTATACATGCATGTCTGGTTAAAACAAATTTTTACGCTCAAAATTCCACTCAAATTTGTGGGATTATGTGGCAAACATGCAAGTGTGGTTAAACCATATATTGACACTCAATATTCCACGGACACAAACATAGATTTTTCCATTAAGTGAAGTCAACATTTTGACTTTCTTTATTTTAATTCAACAATTAATTTAAATAATTAATTTCAAATAAAAATAATATTAAATGATTAATTAAACAATTTCATTAAAATTTAACATTAAATCAAATATCGATCCCAATAAATTCGGACACATATTGATCATGAATCCTTGTTCATAATTAAAATATTTAAATCTTATTTTAAATATCTCCAATTCTTTCTTTTTGTTTAATTCATAATTAAAACAAAATGCAGATAAATATATCGTCTATATCTAAAGTATATTCCCTAATTTAAATTCGAACACTTCGAACTCACTCGTCACACTGTTCTAAGGTTTAGTTTGATATGAGCTAGCAGGGGGACCTAATGGACCTACAAATCATGGGCTCCAACAATCCGAGATTAACCGGCTAAACTCATTAACCTTGTTAACATACATTCGTTAACTACTAGGACACTTCACTATAGCCTAGTAGTTGCACTCCCCTCACTATAGATATATTTCTGTCCATTTGATATAACCATGATTAGTCAGTTGATCCTTCACAGGTTGTTCGTAACTAAAGCTAAGTCAATTTATTGTTTCATATACCTAACGGTGACGGTGCATTTGCTGGAGTACCATGGACGTACCTTAGACCTACATCGTACGCCAATGTACATGATCTATGACCCAACGCTTTGATACCAACTGTAACTCCTCTAATATTTTTTTAACCTAATTAGCAAAGTTACCTTGCATTCATAAGGCAAAAATGCGAAAACTCATATAAAACAACCTTAATAACAACGACATGGCTTTTATAATCAGGTTCATAACACGAAGGATCAACCTAACTCGGGAATCCACCAACGACTAACTAGGAAAAATAAATGCAATTATTTATTATTCAAAGGAAATCTCGAACAGAGCATCTATTGTCCTACAAGCCCTCCCTTTAACTTCCATGGCCTTCGCAATGTTCACTATCAATCGTATAGGGGAGCCTTACCTTTACCTGAAAACGTAGATAGCACGTGGCTTAAGTATTTTATAAAATAATTAGTAAGTTGCCCCACTGTTGGGGTCAGGTATACAATACACATTTAGAACACATGCAAATCACGTGCAGCACACATGCACACATACAAGCATAAAAACTTGAGGGGGACTTGTCTTCCATTCCCTTTACATGACCTCTAGGTCCTTACTTTATCTGGGCAGGGTGAATTTGTGGTACTTCTCCACACACGACCAACATATGTAAATATGGGCCCACCAGGACCTAACTTGGTCGAGTACACGTGATACTCGTTATCGGACGCCACAGAACAGGAAAGGGCTGCATGATATCATAGCGAGCATAATATGGAATGTATGCGTCCGTACCATCATAACTTAACAGTGAAGTAAGCTTATGCACGTGACACACAACATGCATGAGGTCCCTAAAGCTTACCTCCATGGAATTATGCATACAACATTCCATTCCCTTGTCATGTTACATAGCATGGCTTAGTTAAGCATTATGTAAGCGTTTCATAGTTTCCCAGTCACCACATCCATGACATGCAAAGCTCTCAACACATTCATGGCATGTCAACTAATACCAACAGTAAGGTTACTTACATCTCTAGCCTTGGTCGAAGTTACTCGCGATAGGTTAACTCTGACGCTTAACTACTCCCTATAAAACAATATTATACACTTAGAGTCTTTTCATAATGAAAACTAACTAAACCTTATGTCTAACTATCAAGGTACGCTCCTATCATAACCTGTTTTAGTAAAATAAAGTTACATTGATCTTAGATGGTTGAAACAAGGGCGTTAACGGCTCTAGAAGGATCAAAAACCTAGGATTTGGTATATTATTTGTATACCAAGCTGCTAAGCGGAGTCGCCGATTCACCAAGCCACACTTTCAAGCCGAGCTGCAGAATACAATGAAGTTGCCAACGAAGCCGAAGTACAGAGCCAACAAGCCGAAAGGTTACTTGTGGTGCACAACTTCTAGATGCTGGGTACCAAACCCAGAGTCAGTGTCCAAATGCAGGTTGCAAGGCACAGGCCATACGTTGGCTGAAGCGAGCTCGCTGGTACCTGAAGAACCTAACCCGCGATCCGCTGCCCTGTCTTCCTCACGCGAGTGTTTAAATGAACCCTAATCGTGGAACCCAACTACTATTGCCGATGGCACTGTCGTCGTACGTTTGTCCTTGATGAGGTGTCTGTCCCTCTCGTTACGAAGTACCCTGACATTGGTTCACTCCTACCTAAGAAGTCACAAAGGTCCGAAGCCTTAGGACGTTATCGATTCCTCACCTCAATCTTTCTGCTTCTCTCTCACAGGTACAAAATGACTCAAAGGAAAAGACAGCTACTTAGATACCCTAGGGTTTAATGTGGGAACTTTAGAAAATAGTACGTCCTATTAGTAACCTTCGCCGTAAATCGCGAGATTTCCGACATTTTCTTTCTTTTTTTCTTCGAAACTCGTATTGTTTCAAAAACCCTTCTCATCAACATCTGAAATGCAGTGCCAATAATTACATCGTTCTTGAAGCCAAACATGATTATCCGACCAAAACACCTCGCACGAATCATGTCCAAGATTGCTACTAAAGTTGCACCAAAACATTGTTGTCTAGAAAAAAAATCAACTTGAATTTTAAATTGTATTCGTAATGGTTATAAAAAAAAAAGAAAAGAATAATCCAGTCATAGGAAAAGGCCCAAGAATTTCGGTGCAGTGCCAGAATCCTCGCGCCTTCTACCCACGTGCCCTCCCCAACGTGAAGTATACACAAAATGAAGCCATGCCCCAATCTTCCCTTACAACACATCCCTACAATAAAGGAAATGCGAGTAATAGAGAAGATGAACGATCATAGTGGTTTTTCGATGAATGCAAATCGGTGATTTTAATCGCTGAGTCCTAGGGTATCTAAGTAACTCAGTAGTTACAAACGAAAATAGTACGTCCTATTAGTAACCCACTATTAGTAACTCAGGGTTTAATGTGGGGACTCAGAAAAACCGAACCACAATCTCTTTTTTAAAATCGCCCTCAATCTCCCATTAATATATAGATGATATTTTCATCAGTTGGAGAAGGAAGCATAGAGAAAAAGATCGACATAAAGAGATCGTATTCATTGTGGGGAGGGGAAATTGCAGACGAGCGTCGGATGTTTCAGAAATCTGAAACGAAGCATTGGTCTGCAATGGTAGTCACATCCAAGGCTTTGTGAATTCGTGGGGGAGGGAGGAAAGATAGGAAGAAGGAAAAGGGGATCAAAAGTCAACGGTGAGGAGCTCTTAAGAAGAGAGAAAAAAGTTTCGAAAAATTCACATACAATTGTGTGGAGAAGAAATTTCAATCAGGTTGGATCAGATTCTTGTAAACCATGATTACAACCCCTCACTCAAATTAAGACAAACCCAAGGCTCGACCCACGACTAGTGCGAAGCCCAGTAGTTACAAACAAGGCCCTTATGCCCACTTGCAATGCTCGGCCCACCTACAGCATCGATTGTTTGAAAAACTGCAACTATTTGGCCCAATCGAGTCTAGTACCATCGGACACAACCTACGCACCGCAAGAACAACCCAAGAGAACAACACAAACTCTGTGCCTTGACCCGATTCATGACCCACACACGCATCTTCTCCATCAAGTGATACTTGTTGCGCATGCCGACGTTGAATCCTTTAGCTCAGTCGGCTCAACGCAGCTCGACTTGACTCGGTGTAGCTTATCGACTCAAAACTCTATCGTTCATCTCGGTATAGACATTTTGATACTTATTTCAACATGTTTTACCCTCCCAGACATAAATTTGACCTTAATTAAGTAAATTAAGATCAATATAACATGTTATTTCAAAGTTCATGTTTATTTAGGCTAGAAATGTGAGTTATTAATGAAAATGAGATGGACGTTCGAATAGAAAGAAACTTCCGATGATACTTGGAGCAACATTGGGAAACAGAATCCAATTGTACTCAAGTATAAGGAGAAGGCTTGCTAAGGCAAACCAAGTAACTAACCTTACTATTGTTTCGGTTAAAAGTTGATGTTTGTATGATGACACGTGTAACGATCCAAAATTTTCTACTTAATTTAAGGTCGCTACTGTATACATATTATAAACATTGAATGCAAAAATACTTCATTTAAATCCCATAAAACATAACCTTTATCTTAAAACACAGCCATGGACTTATGTGCTTCGAAAACACCTTCAAAACAACACAACAAAAGGCTAAATAAAATAAATAAATGTTTAAATTAAAAACATCCTATTCTAGTCTAAGTCTAGGAAAATAAATATCACTATCCTATGCATCTGCTATACTATGGTCTCGAGTTGCGATGCCGTCGTTAGCCGTACAGGAATGCCCTGCCTTAACCTGAAAAATGTAGTAGCACATGGCTGGAGTATTCAAAGAAATACTCAGTAAGTAACGCCACTATTGGAGGTTAAATGCAAGAACATGCGAATGCAATGATGAGACCTATCATTTAAATCTATTTTCCTACGGAACTGTCCTAGCGGAGAATTTGGATGTGTACTATATATTCTACACACAGCCCATATGTGCGAGTATGGACTCACCAGTCAATACGCACACTGCTGGGCCACCTTTCTTGTCAGGCGAGCATACTCTGGGAGATCCTTAGGCCAGACACCCTTTAGAACTAGTAACCGTCACGACAACATTAGGTTAACCACAATGATCATACCCCTACTTGACCGTCGCAATGTTATGATAAACATAATTGTCGTATTCCTGCTCAGTCATCGCAGCATTATGATAACCATAATGATCGTATTTCTGCCTCGTAACGTACGCGTCGGTACTATCGTGAAAGGTAAGGGGTATCCCCCAATGCATGAGCACACCATAATGCATGAAGTCCTAACATTTTTCATTTTCATTATGATTTAATACAACCCCGCTAGCGTTCCATACATCTCATATCATTTTTTATATCACTTATCGTATCTTTCATGCATTTGTTGCGGTTGTATTTCATGCTAGTTCGTCATTTTGCATGTCAATCATATCATATTATTCAAATTACATAAGTGTATCATATCATAGCATTCCATGCTTCTAGACATAATCATTTTCATCTTATACATATCATCTCATAACATATCGCATCACAATATGTCATATCATAAACATGTCAATTTATCACATATCTCGTACCATAACGTATTTCATATCACCTTCATATCATATCACAATTTATATACATCCATCATTCACATGTCGTATCATAATCATATCATATCATAAACACTTCGTGGTCTTATCGTTCCCTAACTTATCGTAGCCTTAACATTCTTTTACCTATCATAGTCAGATCATTACGTGAACGTACCCTAATGCTATCATTCTATCAATCTATCATAATCTCATCCCTTTCTACCCATATCCTAACCATATTCTTTTATCAATCTCTCATTTGCAAAGCACTTCGAGACGTAACCTAACCTTAACGTTTCGTGAACACATCTTACTTCTATCGTTACATTACATTTAGTGCATCCTTCTTGTATCATATCTCAAACATATCATTGAACACACACACCGTAAATATTATCATACAATTCACATATTATAACATAACATAAACATAATATAAGCATGTCGATTCACACATATCAGTATATATGAGACGTGCAGAACCAC